GATCTAGTTATGGATTGTGAGATGGGAGACTTATCCTGCATTATGTGATAGAACTGATATAAGCACAGGGCTCAGTATCAGAGGGGTGTAGGCCGATTGTGAATAACAGAGAAGGTGCTGATGTGATGGAAGCAGAGGAATAAAGATTTTATGATGCTACTGGGCCATCAGTCAACGGATACAAGTGGCCTCTGGAACCCACAAAGGAGAAGGAAACAAATTCTCCTGTGGAGATTCAACAAAGATCAGAGTGCTGCAGACCCATACCAGACATGTGGCCTACAGAACTTTGAAAGAACAAATCTGTGTTGGTTTAAACTACTCACTCTTTGGTAGCAATAGGAAACTAATGTAATGGTGTTATGTAGAAAATCCTAAGGATTCTAAAAAATCTCTAGAATAGGTAAAATATCAAGGCCTCAAGGTACAAATCAATATACAAATCTATTATATTTCTACATACTAGCAATTACCATGTAAAAACTGAAATTAGTGATACAATACCATATAGGATTACTCAATAAAGCAAGTCTGTGAAATATGTGTCAACCTAACAAAACATTTATGGGACTTTTATATTGAAAACAACAAAATGCTGAAGAAAGAAATCAAAGACAGGCCGGGCGCTGTGGCTCACGCCTGTAATCCTAGCTCTTGGGAGGCCGAGGCGGGCGGATTGCTCAAGGTCAGGAGTTCAAAACCAGCCTGAGCAAGAGCGAGACCCCGTCTCTACTATAAATAGAAAGAAATTAATTGGCCAACTGATATATATATATAAAAAATTAGCCGGGCATGGTGGCGCATGCCTGTAGTCCCAGCTACTCGGGAGGCTGAGGCAGGAGGATTGCTCGAGCCCAGGAGTTTGAGGTTGCTGTGAGCTAGGCTGACGCCACGGCACTCACTCTAGCCTGGGCAACAAAGCGAGACTCTGTCTCAAAAAAAAAAAAAAAAAAATCAAAGACAGTTGAACAAATACACACATACAATATCCATTGATTAGAAGACTCAAAACGTAAATAGTTTAAATTTACCTTAAACCAATATACACAGCTAATAGATTTTCTATCAAGGTATTTTGTAGACACAGACAAGATTATCTGAAAATTTATGCAGAAAAGCAAAAGAACTAGAGTAGCTACAGCATCTGAACAAAAGAAGAAGAACATGGTTAGAGTAACTCCATGTGATTTCAGTTCTAATATAGTAAAATTAACCCAAATTGGGAGGTGTTGGTGGAGAGACAGGTCAACAGAACCTAATAAAGACGATAGAAATCGTCCCCATATGCATACTTAGAACTGATTTATGACAGTTACCAAGTCATTGAATGAACGAAAAAAATTTTTTAGAATTGCACTGGACCAATTAAATATCCATCAAAAAAAGTCACCAACCAAACTTCACACCTGTATAAACATTAGCTCAAAACTGACCCCAGAGTAAATGTAAAATATAAAACCACAAAATGTTAAACTGTAGGAGATATAGAAAAAAACTATAAAATAAAATCTTCAAGGCCAGGGGCAGTGGCTCACACTTCTAATCCTAGCACTCTGGGAGGTTGAGGCAGGAGGATCGCTTGAGGCCAGGAGTTCAAGACCAGCCTGAGCAAGAATGAGACCCTGTCTCTACAAAAATATAGAAAAATTATCCAGGCATGGTGGCACACACCTGTAGACCCAGCTACTCAGGAGGCTGAGCCAGGAGAATCGCTTGATAACAGAAGTCTGAAGTTGCAGTGAGCTATGATGATGCTACTGCACTCTAGCTGGGGTGACAGGGTTAGACTCTGTCTCAGAAAAATAAAATAATAAGATAAAATCTTCAAAATCAAGAGCTTGGTTAAGGATCCTTACACATGGCACCAAAATCATGGCCCATGAAAGAAAAAAAAACATATATTGATAGACTGGATTTTTATCAAATTTAAAACTTTTGATCTGTATAAGACCTTGTCAAGACAATGAAAGAAAAGCTAGAGTTATAGAAAAGATTTGTGTATCAAATATCTGACAAAAGACAGAATATACAAAGAATTCTAGAATTCCTGCAAAAAAATAAAAAAAGCAAAATAATCAAGTTATAAAATGGACACATGAAGAGACATTTCACTGATGCATAAACACAAAGCAAACAGGCACATGAAAAGACTGCCAACATTACTTCCCATCAAGTGTCAGACATCAGCATTTTGTCTCTTCCATGTGGACCCGTCTGCCTTCAGAGATAATTTAAAAGGAAGAACTACCAAACATTCCAATGTGTTCTCAGTGAGGTACTTTATTTTTTTTTTATTTTTTTAAAAACTTCCTTTATTTATTTATTTTTATTTTTTTTATTTTTATTTTTCTTTGAGACAGAGTCTCACTGTGTTGCCCAGGCTAGAGTGCCATGGCGTCAGCCTAGCTCACAGCAACCTCAAACTCCTGGGCTCAAGCGATCCACAGTGAGGTACTTTTGAAACCTGTGATTGTTTCTGGAAATTGGCAAAGGGAACACAAGATTTTCAAATATGCTCAGCTCAGGAAATGTGCATTCTATTTGCCACTACTGATGAATTGTTAAGTACAGGTCTGTGAATTGATATGGATGAATCACAAACTTATACCTCAGGGACTGGATGCTTCTGCAGAAAAACTGGATAATCCTTCTTACAGGATTATGTGGTCATTTGTGTATCTCTGAATAATTTAAGTATTAATTCATAGGTAGGATTGGTCTATGAAATCACAGTGTAGACATAATAGAATGTTAATACAATCTCAAGGATGGATGAACATAAACCATTTAAGAATGACAGGAGATACTTTAAAAATATACATATTGATGTGTTGAAGGACAAAAATAAGTAGCCCTCTTACTGAAGCTCCACGGTTAAGAAACTTGTCTTTCTAACCAGACAACATAGATTAGATACTGAATCAGCCACTTACTGGAATGTGCCTGGATGGATCTTTTAACCTGTTTTTGTATGGGGTTTCCTCGTGTGCAATGAGAATGTCATCAATACTTATTTCAAGAGCTGAAGTCATTAGAAAATAAAAAAGCACTAACAACAGTGATTCTTGCTCTAAGTGTGATTGATATAAAGAACAATATATAAACAACATAGGAAATCACTTTGAGTGTCTGTGTAATGGGGTCACATTACATGGCCCAGGCTTGTTTCTCACTCTTAGCCTCAAACATTCTTCTTGCCTCAGCCTCCCAGGGAGCTAGGATTACAGGTACTAGAAATTATTAAAGCAAAATGTATTTATTTTTGGATTGTAACAAATCTAAGGAGAGTATATTGGGCCTGAGTTTCCTTGGTAAATGTAGCACAAACATTTTGTTTTCCTGCAAGATCCTTGCTATGAATAGGAATACCAGCCAATGGGAAGCGGAAGAATAGTCTCCAGGAATCCAGCAGTAGGCATTATTTCATTGTCACAAAATATGGTTGAAACCAGGGAGAATTTTCCCTCTTATCTTTTCATTTACCTCTCCAGATGCTGATTAATCTCCAAACACTTGATTTTCAAGTACCTGATGTTAGATAACTCACACATGAAGGAACTTCAGTTCATCTTGTATTATCCCAATAATTCCACCAAAGAATTGTCCAAAGAAATGTCCACTTAAAAAGACAATCCAGTTTCATATTTATAAAGAACCAAGTTTGTAGGCCAGGCGCGGTGGCTCACGCCTATAATCCTAGCTCTCAGGGAGGCCGAGGGTGGGCGGATTGCTCGAGGTCAGGAGTTCAAAACTAGCCTGAGCAGCAAGAGCGGGACCCCGTCTCTACTATAAATAGAAAGAATAATTGGCCAACTGATTTATAATATAATTAGCCGGGCATGGTGGCGCATGCCTGTAGTCCCAGCTACTCGGGAGGCTGAGGCAGGAGGATCGCTTGAGCCCAGGAGTTTGAGGTTGCTGTGGAGCTAGGCTGACGCCAGGGCACTCACTCTAGCCTGGGCAACAAAGCGAGACTCTGTCTCAAAAAAAAAAAAAAAAAAAAAAAAACCAAGTTTGTATCTGCCATTGTCTTATGTGCATTTCCATGTCACGAAATTTGTCTCGAAACATCAACCTCATTTATGTACCTCCTGAATATTTCACTACAGTAACACAGGGAAGAAATGTAGTGAGCATATAATCTGGACTATAATGCACGAAAGAGGGGAAAAAAACCTGTAAAAGAACTAGCCACAAAAACAAAAAATAAGTTTATTACAAGTGAAAATGAACTATGGAATATATTCTTCAGTTCCATACCTTTTGGAAAACTGCTCTTCCAATGAAATTACTTAATCATTTTCATTATATAATAAACTCTTCCACACAATAATTTTCATTGACTATAAATTTATTAGGACAATTAACATAACATATTCACAAACATTTCAATGATCAGTATTCAATGGGACTTATGTGTGCAGCCAAGAAAGGAATGTAGTACGCCAATACCGTGAGAAAACTGGGATCTCTTCCGCAAGGCATTGGATTTTGTTGTTGTTTTTGTTGGTCTGTTTTTTGAGGTAAGAGATCTGACTCTGATTCCCAGGCTTAGGATGTGCCGTGGTGTCAGCCTAATGTTTTTCTACCATATACATAGCATACATATATAATATATATTATTTTTTTTTTTTTTAATTTCGAGACAGAGTCTCACTTTGTTGCCCAGGCTAGAGTGTGAGTGCCGTGGCGTCAGCCCTAGCTCACAAGCCAACCTCATTCCTGGGCTCAAGCGATCCTCCTGCCTCAGCCTCCGAGTAGCTGGGACTACAGGCATGTGCCACCATGCCCGGCTAATTTTTTCTAACTATAATTAGCTTGGCCAATTAATTTCTTCTATTTATACAGTAGACGATGGAGTCTTCGCTCTCTCAGGTGATCAACTCTAGCTCAAACGATCCCACCCCCCCCCCAGACTAGGCATTCAGGCACCACCCCCCCTGCAAGATTAGTAGTCAGTCTCGCTCTTGCGCGCACGTTCGAACTGGTAGTCGCTGCCTCGGCCTCCCAGAGTGCTAGGATTACAGGCGTGAGCCACCGCACCTGGCCCAACACTGGGAGTTTGAAGAGTAAAGATACAATATGGTACTAAAGAGTCAGACTACATTATGTGATGGTAACATTATACCTCTGTACTCCCTAAGCTTATTCTGCCTACCTGGTCATGCTAACAATAAAGCCTGAATATTCTCTCCTTTGCAGCAACTGGAAGTTCAAACCACAAGTAGGTATCTCCATCCCAACCCCACCCTTTAGCAATCATAACACTGAAAGTCAGTCTTATATACCAGTTCAATAAAGCCAGTTTTGGACAAGGTGCTTTCCCTAGAAAGCCTCATTATGTAATAAACATCCTCGTAACACTTCAATGTATAGAGTTATCACTCTCATCATCCAAACTCAATGTCAGGAGCACTTTAATCAAGTTCCAGTGGGGTGGTGAAAAATCGAACATACCAAAAATGGTATGAGGGTAAATATACGAAGTTTCCACTTTATCTACAAAAATTCCCATTCTGTATGCTCATTCATACATGGAAGTTCATGAACATTAATATTTTCAAATTAGAAACACTGACCACAGCAAGGACAAAAAAACAATAGTGTTATTTTTATCCTTATTCACCATACTTTTTTTCATTTTATAATATTTTCCATACTACTATATTTGTATTTTTGCTTCATAAAAAATGACGGTACATGCCATGGGTCTAATTTGGCACACAAAAAAAAGGGGCACATAGAAATATAATAATACAGTGCATGTTTCATCAACAGCAATGGATGTTTGAGGATATATGCATCTGAAGTTCTACTGTTAAGGGATTTTCAACATATCCACATAAGGATCTAGGAGTATAGAGAAGAACTCAAGTGCTAATAATATCTACCCAAAATCATACTGACCTAAGCATATGTACCAAAATGTGTTATGTTGTTTGATTTCACACACACACCCACACAAGAATGTTCTAGATGCTTCAACTTTAAGGGACTAATGGTATATTATTACTGTCTATTGTGAAGTATCCTCCTGAGGTAGAATAAAATATTGTTGGTAGATAAAATGTGATTCACTCATAGTTATAAAAAATTAATTTTTTAGTTAGAACATGAGAACTAGGACACCTTCTATATAAAATAGTTGCAAATTATATTGCCAGTAAGAAAGTGTGAATCCTATTCACGAACATCCTATATTCATAGCTTTGATTGAAATCTCTACTTTGAAATGTCTTCTCTCTTCAATTTGAAAAACAAGACTCAGTCTTTGCTAAATAAAAGCTATTGCCATTCAGTGGAGAAGGTAGCCACTGTTTCCTTTGCATTTTTTTTACCACATAATCAGTTCCTAATAACCTCTTACTCTCTTCCGAAAAAAATCCCAATTTCCAAAGGTCATGCTCTATTTCAGTCTATTAGTAGAATGTCTTTCCTATAACCACTGTGCCCTTCTGTCAGGAGAAGTGTGTGGTGATTCCAATAAGCATAACTGATATCACACTTTTATCTTTTTGTCTGCCCATCTCCAGACTCTCTCAGACAATATTTAGTTTCAAAATAAAGTGTCCTTATTCTTCCAGGAAACTGGATAGAAATGATTCTCACTAATCAAGTCAGTCTGTCATCTCATTCTTTCCAAGACATCAGTAAGGAAGGCATATGGAGAGATTTCAAGTTTATAAGTTGACACTTATAAAGAGTAGTCATTTAAAAAAAAACCCAAATAATTATCTTATAACCTAAATATAACAGACCATTTCCATATGTCCTTGAACATATGCTATATATCATGTGATGAGGTTCAACTTAGTTTGACTTGTAATTATCTCCAGTATGTAATATCACAATTTAATACTGGAGAACAAGAGACTGAGTTATTTCCTGTGTAAATCTTCTGATGTCCTATAGTAAACATTGCATTCTATTTGTATGGTTTCATTGAATTTGTATTCACATTCCATTGTATGGTTTTATCAAAAATGTACACTTTGATGTCCATTGTGCTATGAGGCCTGGATAAAGCCTGTAACACATACATTTATTGAATTTCTCCTTAGTATGCACTCTCTGGTGTTGATTAATGCTATCATTTATGATGTAGAGTTTCCCATACTCACTGAAATTGTAAGGTCTCAGTCATGAATGAATTTTCAGATGTAAAAGCTGTGAATTGTGACTGAAGTCCTTACCACATGCATTACATTTGTAGGGTTTCTCTCCAGTATGATTACTCCAATATCATGCAAGATGTAAACTGCAACTAAAGACCTTGCCACATTCATTCATTTGTAAGATTTCCCTCCAGTATGAATTTTCTCATGAACTATAAGGGATATCTCTTGCCTGAGACCATGCTATATTCATTACATGTGTAGGGTATCTATCCAGTATGAACGGTCCAATGTTGTTGTACAAGGTGTGAAACTTGACTGAAGATTTTGCACAATCATTAAGATTTGTAAGGTTTTTCTCCAGTATGAATTTTCCAGTGTTCTGCAAGATTTGAATTGTGACTGAAGGCCTTTCCGCATTCATCACATTTGTAAGGTTTCTCTCCAGTGTGAATTCTCCGATGTCGAGCTAGGTGTGAAATTTGATTGAAAACTTTGCCACATTCACTACATTTGTAAGGTTTCTCTCCAGTATGAATTCTACGATGTCGAGTAAGCCGTGAATCTCGACTGAAGACCTTGCCACATTCATTACATTTGTAAGGTTTCTCTCCAGTATGAATTCTCCAATGTTCTGCAAGTTTTGAATTGTGGCTAAAGGCCTTTTCACATTCATTACATTTGTAAGGTTTCTCTCCAGTATGAATTGTTCGATGACGAGCAAGACTTGAAACCTGATTGAAGAACTTGCCACATTCGTTACATTTGTAAGGTTTCTCTCCAGTGTGAATTCTCCGATGTTGTGCAAGGAGTGACACTCGATTGAAGACCTTGCCACATTCGTTACATTTGTAAGGTTTCTCTCCAGTGTGAATTATCCGATGTTGTGCAAGGAGTGAAACTCGATTGAAGGCCTTTCCACATTCATTACATTTGTAAGGTTTCTCTCCAGTGTGAATTCTCTGATGTTCTGCAAGATGTGAATTGTATCTGAAGACTTTGCCACATTCATTACATTTGTAAGGTTTCTCTCCAGTATGAATTCTCCAATGTCGTACAAGGTTTGAATTGTGCCTGAAGACCTTGCCACATTCTTTACATTTGGGAGGTTTCTCACCCTTATGGATCACTCGATGGTTAGTAAGGCTTGAAGATACACTAAAAGCTTTGCCACACTCATTACATCTGTAAGGTTTTTCCCTAATGTATGCTTTCTGTTCTAGTGTGAGTAATGGAGAATCAACAAAATCAATCCTATATTTATTAAAAATGTGGGTTTTGACAGAAGGAATGTTTTGAAGTGGTGAAAATGAGGAAATATGGTTGATATACTTTTCAACTTGATTACATACAAGAGTTTTCCCTTCAGCTTCAAATAACTGCATTTCTGGCAGATATAGTTGAAAGCTTAATCCACATCCATTGTTAAGAGGATTGTTTTCTGCATCACCTCCCAATGTACAGCTTCTCCCTAGGAAAGCAAGAAAGGAGTGGAACTTGAAGCCATGGTTATGGAATGTCCACATTCTGAAAGAAGGACGAGAATCTGCCTCACCTGATTCAGACATTGAAAGGAATATCAGCATCCTTAGTATATCATGTGGGCAATGCTGAAAACATAAGGGAGTGAGGTGCCATCCCAGAGCAGTGGAGCGTCTGTAGGAGCCAGGAGGATTATGGGTGCATTTGAGAGACATTAGGAGCAGAGAAATACAACAGAACCAAAATCTCCTGAAAACAGCCAGTAATGGGCCTCTTAGGGAAAATATAACATTTAAAAGCAGCTATATAAACATTAGTAATAGTACATAATAAAAGTCAGGAAAGATACATCCACAGTAGAGGAGTGAGTACACCTAGATCCTTTGTAACAGACTGATGAGTAAAAGGTCACTCTCTGCACCATTTTAGGGCAAAAAGACTTGGAGAGAGGTGGTTGTTTTACCAAGGTCCAAACTAAAAATTGCAAGGCCTACAAAACGACAGGGAAGTATGGTCAAATAAAGGAATAAAATTAATGCCCTAAGACAAAACCTAAAGAAACACAGCCCTCTGAATTACTTGACGAATAATTGAAGCAATAATCCCAAGATGTCAAATGAACTTAAAAGATAACAGAGATATACAACAAAATGAATGAAGGACAAAATACTTGAAAGAAGGAGAGTATCAAATAAAAGAGAAATGTTTAGAAAATAGAACTTATGGAGATGCAATATAATAATGAAAAGAAGATTCACTATAGAATTCAACAGCAGACTGAAGAAGGCAGAGGAAAGAATGAACAGATTTGAGGACATGTTAGCAAAATTACCGTCTCCAAAGAGCAGAAAGAAAAAAATAATAAAGAAAATCAAACAAACTCTAAGAGATTTGGGGGATACTATCAAGCAAAATAATATACAAATTATGTGAGTTTAATAAGGAGACAACAAGGGATCATATATCGCATTTTAAGAAATAATGTCCCAAATTTAAGGAAAGAAATGGATATATTAATACAAATTTAAGAAGCTTGACTGCTGTAACTAAAATTACCCAAGGATATTCACACAGAGACATATTTTAAACAAACTATCAAAAGTCAAAGACAAAGACATAGTCTTCAAAGTAATAAGAAGAAAGAGACTTGTGATATAAAAAGGTAACTTTATAGGACTATGTGCATTTTACAGCAGAAACTTTGCTACAAGGCAGTATGATGACATGTTCTAAGTGCTTAAAGGAAAAAACATGTCAACCAGGAATACTGTTTTTAGCAAAACTCTCCTGCAAAAATAAAGGAGAAATTTACACTTAGCAAAAGAGCTGAGGGAATTCATTAATACTCTAGATCTGTCCTACAATAAATGCTAGTTAGTCCTCCAAAATGAAAGATAAGGACCCTCCCTAGATAAAAACTCCAACCCATATGAAAACGTTAAGTTCTCCATTATAGGTCAAAAAATGATCAAATAATACAGAAACATGTAGTATTGTACTTTTCATTTTACCTTGACTTTTAATATCTTCCTAGCATTTAAAAGATAAAATTATTCAATAAGCACTATAAATACATGTTAACAGGAACACAAAATATACAGAAATAATTTCTGACATCAATAACATAAAGTAAGAACACAGAACAGAGTTGTTTCAGAGCACTGTTTGTACATAATTGAAGTTAAGCTGTTAACATTTTTTTGTTGTTGTTGAGACAGAGTCTCGCTTTGTTGCCCGGGCTAGAGTGCCATGGCGTCAGCCTACCTCGCAGCAACCTCAAACTCCTGGGTTCAAGTGATCCTCCCACGTCAGCCTCCCGAGTAGCTGGAACTATAGGTGCAAGCCACCATGCTCAGATACTTTTTGTTTCTATTTGTAGTTCACTGGCTAATTTTTTCTATTTTTAGTAGAGAGGGGGTCTCGCTCTTGCTCTGGCTGGTCTTGAACTCCTGACCTCAAGCAATCCTCCGCCAGCTCCCGCATGCTAAGTACAGGCATGAGCCACTGAACCTGGCCAAGCTGTTAACATTTTATTTATATTTATTATTTATTTTGAGACAGAGTCTGCCTTGTTGCCCAGGCTAGAGTGAGTGCCATGGCATCACTAGCTGCACAGCAACCTCAACTTCCTGGGCTCAAGCGATCCTACTGCCTCAGCCTACAAGTAGCCTGGGACTACAGGACATGTGCACCATTGCCTGAATTTTTTCTATATATATTATTGGCCAATTAATTCTTTCATTATAGTAGAGACGGGTTCGCTCTTGCTAGGCTGGTTTCAAACTCCTGACCTTGAGCAATCCACCCCCTCGGCCTCTCAGAGTGCTAGGATACAGGCGTGAGCCACCACGCCAGCCAACATTTTGAAATACAAGTTATAACTTCATAACTGCAATGTAACCACAAAATAAATGTATAGAATGGGCCGGGCGCGGGGCTTCACGCCTGTAATCCTAGCTCTTGGAGGCCGAGACGGGCGGATTGCTCAAGGTCAGGAGTTCAAAACAGCCTGAGCACAGCGGACCCGTCTCTACTATAAATAGAAAGAAATTAATGCCAACTGATTATATATATAAAAAATTACCGGCATTGGCGCATGCGTAGTCCAGCTACTCGGGAGGCTGAGGCAGAAGGATCGCTCAGCCCAGGAGTTTGAGGTTGCTGTGAGCCAGGTGACGCCACGGACTCACTCTAGCTGGCAACAAAGCGGAGACTCTGTCTCAAAAAAAAAATAAAAAAAATAAATGTATAGAACAAAAAAAGATGAGATGGCAATCAAAGCATTTCACTGCAAAAAATTCAGCAAAACACAAAAGAAGGCAGTAAAAGAGTAATGAAATTTTAAAAGTCTATACAATACTACAAGGTCTACAGAATAAAGTAACCTAACAAAAATTATAAGGCCTTCTCTATCATTTAATTACTTCAAATCTAAGTCATTTAACTTTGCAACCAGAAGAAAACAAGGCTCAACTAAATCCGCAAAAGAGATTCCCTTTAGCTCTGAGGGCTGAAATTGAAAAGCAAAAAGATATTCCATGCAAATAGTAACCAGCAGAGAGCAGAGAGCCAGGTTGATAACAGAATAAACAGACTTTTAATCGAAACTGTTAAGAGACAAAGGTTATTATAAAGTGATGAAAGGCCAGTTCACCAAGAAATATAACCATTATGATATATAACCACCAATCATTAGAGCCCGTAAGTACAAATGGAAACGTTAATAAATTCAAAGGAAAATAGACACTCCATAGTTAGTATAACTACACTACCCACTTTCTAAATGTATAAAACCCAGATAGAAAACAGAGATCAAATACCACTATGACCAATTAAACATAACAAGACTACACAAACACACCACCCAATGACAGCAGAATACAATTTTTTCTGAAGTACCAAGAAAACATTTCCAGAATACACCTCAGGACATACACAAAAATTTTGATAATATAAAACACTGAAGTCATACAAATTATTTAACTAATAATGAAATAAAACTAAAATAACAGGAGAAGAAAACTAGAAATCCACATATGTGCAAATTAAACAAAGTTAAAGAAATCACAATATACAAACTATGAAATACAGCATAAACAGTGCTGAAAGATATTATAGTATCTATACTATATAAAATAAACACATCATATCAAAACTAACTTTATACCTCAATGAGGGAGAAGAACAACAAACTAAATACAAAGTAGCAGAAAGGGAATAAAGATTGGAAACAAAATAGAAAACAAAGCACTAGACAAACAAAAGGTCATGAAAATAAGAATCATAGATAAAAGATTGAGTAAACCTTAGCCAGATTAACTAAAACATTTTAAAATGTATATACCATAAGATTTAAACAATGAATTAAAATATAAAATGGGTCATTATAATAATTCTATTCAATGACTATGAGAATGAGATTAAAAAATGTATGATTGCAATGATAACCAAAAAGAAATGGATTAATTTCTAGAATGCACCATTACTGAGAATAAGTAGAAGTAGAAACAAAATAAATAAGCATTCAGGCCGGGCGTCGGTAGCCATGCTGTAATCCTAGCACTCTGGGAGGCCAGCAGGAGGATCACTCAAAGTCAGGTTCAAAACCAGCTGAGCAAGAAGAGACGCCGTCTCTATATAAATAGAAAGAATTAATTGGCCAACTAAAAATACAAAAAAAATTAGCCGGCATGGTGGTACATGCCTGTAGTCCCAGTACTGGTAGGCTGAGCAGGAGGATCGCTGAGCCCGGAGTTTGAGGTTGCTGTGAACTAGGCTACGCCATGCACTCTAGCCCAGCAAAGACTGAGACTCTGTCTCAAAAACAAAAAATTCGAGACTAATCAGTGATCAGTACTCCAAAAAAGAAAGTACTAAACCAGAGACTTCAGTGTAAAATTCTACCAAATATAGAAAAAACCTTAACACATCCTCTTCAAAATCATCCATAAGTTTAAAGTGAACACTTGCCACACTCATTCACTGAGGCTAGTCACCTGGACAGCAAAACAGACAAAGCCCTGCAAGATGAAAACTATAGACATGCGTAAAGGGCTGAATACTTGAATTACATATAACTCAGGAAATCAGCAAGAAAAAAAAAACAACCGTATAAAAGTAGCAAAGACATGAACAGAACTTATCAAAAGAAGATAGATTAATGACAACAAACATATGAAAGATGCTCAAATTCTAATCATCAGAGAAACGCAAATCAAAACAATGAGGTATCACTTATCCCATTGAGAATGGCCTTTATCAAAGTCCCAAAACAATGAATATGGCCTGGATGTGGAGAGATAGGAATACTCTACACTGCTGGTGGGAATGCAAACTAGTAAACCTCTGTTGAAAGCAATGGAGATACCTCAAGGAATACAAGTGAAACTACCATTTGATCCAGCATCCATTACTGTGCATCTACCCAAAAGAACAAAAGACATTCTATAAAAAAGACATCTGTACTGAATGTAGCAGCACAATTCACAT